ACATATGAAGAGGCCTCAAAATCACAATCACTATTGGCAACACTAACAAAAAACTCACCAAGAGCCTCAGCTTTATCGGCATCAGAAAAGCATCAGACACCCTTTATACCAGAAAGAACGGGTAAGCTAGTCTTGGTCTTTAATTTACCATGAATAACGCATGGAGTTTTTTTATAGAGGCTTCCATAGCTAGTCGTCGTTCACGGTTCGCACAAAGTTTTTTGAGAGGGCAATTAATATCAGCACAAATCTTCTTAAACAGAGGGCAGCACAGTGAAGCAGGAGACTTTTGAAATATCCTCTACTTCTGATCAAATTAGATCTGAATATGGGTGGGATAATGGAAATGATAACCTCGTGGTACACTGAATGGAACATATTGTGCCAGCTTTTCTTAAGCAAGTTATAATCATTCGGTTACTCCACAGATTAAGATAAGAAAAGAATTTAGTTATCAAAATATTGCGGTGGTATATAAAAACAGGATATTTAATGAACTTCCATTCAACAGAAATCTAAATGCACAAGTAATCAAAGGTATTATATTTGGTAATGATAATTATGATTGTAGATGCACACCAGACAGGATAGTGTTTAAATACAGTAATCCAGAGGGCTAGTAAAGTTGTAATTACAATCAAATTTTCAAAATTCTAAACAATGAGAACCTAAGAAAAATACTCAAATAAGATTGCAACTTCACGTTTACAGTTAATCAACATTATAGATAAAATTCACGTGCAAATAATTGTTGGAGGCTTAAACATAATTGAACACAAATAACTAAGGAAAATATTGAGCAAAGGTACAAAGTATAGAATAGATATGGGAACCAGTAGGAAAGAGATTAGGGAGGTATGCTCTCGAAAGTATTCGGCCAACCACTTTCACGCTTCTTCGTTCGTAACTTTTTTCTTCCTGGAGCAAATCACGCGAAATTGTGATATGTTTAACTGAAGCATATTTCACACCATTCAACCCTGTTTGACGGCAATGCAGCAATATCCACATAACTGAGAGCAGGGTGATTTGTGGTAGCAAAATTCCCTTAAGAAAGTCAGTGACGTCTGCAGTTATTTGCACCTTATGTGCGTTATTCTTTTCTACTGTATTCGGCATTAGCGCTCGTACACTAAAAGGCACCGTTCACGATAAAAAGGCTACTGAGTTGTTCCTTTAGGAACAACTCAGTAGCCTTTTTACTGAGCGCCCCCCATGGGTGGTAGAAGGGAAGAAGAAGAGTGGTATAATCAAAATATTTTGGGCAATCGATAACATTGATATAGAGCAGGACCTATGCACCATATCACAAGGGCCATTGATATACATATATACGGCTGGCTGAAAACAAACAGGAATGATCACAAAATATTGAAGAGCTATTAAATATATGCTTCAAAAATACTGGTCAACAACACATTGCTACAAATGGCTATTATGCCTTTCACACAGATAATATAAAAGATAAGCCTAAATACAGACATAAATACAGATATTATAGGATGAAAGATCTTTTATGTTCCATATAATACATATTGAATGATAGCTATTTATAGTGAATACATTTATAAGCAAAGGATTGGGGTTCCACAAGGAGGTAATTTTAGTCTATTATTAGCATATCTTACTCTATCTAATATGGATTTCAAGTGTGCAAAAAGTATGAAAAAGGATGAAAATTATGTATATGTTTCCATTCAGGGATATGGATGGTCTGTTAATAATACACAATCAACAAGAAGGATAGAAATGTATCTAAAATAAGTGTACAAAGTCATTTCGCTTCTTGGAAAAACTCACATCTTTAACAGATATTGTAATTATTTGAATTTGCCCTTAACAATCGAAAATGATTGGATTATTACACAGTTATATTATGAAACGGATGATTTCAGTTTCAAGTTTAGCAGATTCTCCCATAAAAATTCTAATTTCAAGAAAAAATAATGCTCCAGTTATCTATACAAAATGCCTCAGAATAGCCCATACTTGCAGTAATATTACAACGTATATTTCTAATATCACAAAGCTCCGCTACTACATTATGTGGCGGCTCATTTAGTCAACGTTGGAGAATTCATATCAGCCTTGGAGCGCTGCGAAATACCTGATGATGCATTCTCACATGTTTGCCTATCAGATTCGATGGAAGGAGAACTCACACCCGACAGTCTTGGACAGGTTGTCGTCATTCGTTGCATCTGTGCCTTTCTCCGGAACATCAGTATCAGTGCCAAAACCAGTAACATCTATGGAACCTACAAAAGCGTCACTTCATTCTGTTGCAAATTTATGCGAATGAATCGTCAGCGAAGTCTGCATCAAATTTGACTCAAGAAGAGAGACGTGGTTTGAAGAAGCTTCTGCTGAATACTATGATTTATGCCGCAATGATGAGAACTTGATCAAGACCAGACCAATAATTTCTTCATGCGGTGGGCCATCGGATAGAGTCAGCTGGTTCCTCACAAAGCTCCTATCACCGCTACTACATTATGTGGCGGTTCATTAAGTCAACGTCGGAGAATTCATATCAGCCTTGCAGCGCTGCGAAATACCTGATGATGCATTCTACGCGAGTTTCGACGCGGTTTCTCTGTACACGAATGTGGATAACAACGAGGCCGTGCATTCTGTGATAGAGTTTCTACGACGACATCGACAAGAGGTACATACTTTCAGACTGATGGAGGAAGATCTACGACAGCTCTTGTTAGCTGCTTTGAAATGTAACATCTTCCAGTTCGATGAAACGCTCTATTCACAGAAAAGAGGTCTTGCCATGGGATTGAGGATTTCGCCGCTACTAGCAATCGTCTATTTGGATCGCATAGAAAGGAGGACTCTGACCGAAGGAATTGTGTTTTATAAGCGCTATATAAACGATATGTTCGTGGTCGGATCTACAGTTGAAGATACGTACACGATGCTTCAAAAGCTGAACTCGTGTGATCCAAACATTCGTTTGACTGTGGAGTGTCCAGGTGAATGCGGCTACCTTCCGTTTTTGAACACAAAGGTTCGGACATCCCATGACATGAAGGAATTTGAGTGGTATAGGAAACCGATGCCAAAGAATATCCTTCTGCATTCTCGGAGTGCACATCCATTGTACATGAAGGCCAACGAGATAAGAAGCCTTATCACGACGAAGACAAGGACATGTACTAGAGAATCAGGAGAGGTGGATCGAAGAATTGCAAGAATTGGATTTTGGAAGAGAACGGCTATACGACGGTACAACCAAGGACATGGCGTCCTTTCTTTGCTGGGCGAGGAACACCGCTAGTTTTACCATATGTCAATGAAAGAGTAGCAAAGAAGGTGAACGATGTCGTCAAGTCGTCGGGTCCTCCAGTCCGTTTGGTATTTCGACCGCCTGGAGGAACTGCTCGTACTGTGTCGATCAAAAAATTTGTCAGCTACGCGGAACAGTATATTTATATATACATATACATAGAATATTAACAGTAGGGTCACATGCGAAGGATGCAGTCAGAAGTACGTCGGTGGATCCAAGCGTCCGTCGCACAAACGGATGGATGAACATACACGAGCGCTGAGAAATCCATCATCCTACCCAGGAAGTGCGTTCTCGCGTTATCGTGTACTGTGCCACCGTCAAGAAGCACCCCCCTCATAGAAAGTTGCCATATTACACCGCACGAAGGATGCCCCATTGGAGAGAAAACTGCTTGAAGCGCTCGCAATCAAGCGTTTATCACCGGAAATGAACAACAGGGGTGGGCTAATGGAGGCATTAAAATTAATATCATAGCGGTTACGATAAAGAGATCTTGACTATAGTCACACGCATTTCTAGTAGATTTCATTTACTTGGAGACTGCTGTCAGGGTGAGCCGTTCGCTTCGATGTGTTCTTACTACTTACTAGTTGTGCTCATGTTGTATTACAGAATTCCACGAACTTCTGTCATCAGCCTGGTTAGTAATTTTATGCTTATGAGACGCATGTTGTATACTTGTGTGTTAGTTTTGAGGTCTGACGAAGCTGTTAATACAGCGAAAGCTCACCAATAAAGCTTCATGATTGAGTCCTCAGTGCTATTCTCCTAAGAAGATCACAAACTTAGTCAAGGTTTCGATAGATAATGAATGTGCTGAAGTGTTTATCATAGCCAATATTGTTAAGAGTATACATATATATAAAATGAATTATTTATAAGCATTCTTTCGAATATAGCTATGACTCCGCATACAAGTTTGTTAAGGGAATTGTGGAAATTCAAGAAGCTCACTAGTTATATAATTTAATCCTTTATTATTTATGAATTAGATAAAAACATTTTAGGCAAGTTATCATTACTTACGTCATTTCTGGTTCATGCTTGAAGTATGTGTACATGCGTATAATTGTATGCGCACACGTATACACGGGTGTGCAAGTACATCGGGGTACACTCATGTAATAGGTTGATGCATAATTACAGGGTGAGCCATAAATATGGTAACAACTTTTCGGAAGTCTGTAATTTCCTTCTTAGAAGGTTTCTCCAAATCTACATCTTCCTTTATGTTTATAATATACCTTAGCCCACATATCTACTTTGGTGCTCTCGATTCGTCAGATTTCGAAAAACGGTGGAGCCTCGCAGACATCAATCAACCGCTTCGTCTTTGCGCGCATTTGGAGAGTCCCTTTCCGGGATCGCTCCTCGTTTCAATAATCTCCATATAACAGTCCCTTGAATCGCGATGTGTAGATAGGTCAACGACAAACCTCAATACGGTCATCTTGTCTCACATACGACCCCTTTTCAGAATACAATTGCTTGGGAAGGAGAACGCTGCGGAACTTGCAAAAACCCGAGAAAAGTGGTCGCTCCTTTGTTTTACGTTTTAATGCGATGGAAAGAGTTCACCCAGAGTAAATACAACTGTGACCAAAAAGATTCGGAAGCCCTATAATCTTTTTGACGCGAGGAAGGTGAAGAGAAAAATAATTCAAAAATATTAATCAAGTGTTTTTGTTAGCCGCTTTTACTTATATAAATAAAAAAATTTTCGGTTGATATAAAAGATAACAAAGTTCTTATTAAAGCTATTATAGCATAAACAAAAGTAAATTCTACTATTCCACATGGACAAAACGAATAACAAAAATAACCACCAAAACAACAAATTAACAAAACTACAAAAGTAAAAAATGAAATCAACGATCTTATAGGTAATAAAAAAGAATATCTAAAAACTTCTTTTACTCCAAAAAAAAATTTTTTCGCCATAACATTTATTATTCCACTATTAAATACAATAAATATTGTAAAAAAAAACACAAATATGAACACATCTAACGAAAACACTTGATTGATATTTTCAAACTAAAAGATAAAAAACTTAAAAAAATTAAAGACAAAGGCAAAAATTTAAATCAAAACATTATTATTATTATATCATAACGAAATCGAGGATAAGATCTACGAATATAAATAAATAAAGAAAAAATTAAAAATCTTATAACTAAAGAAAAATTAAAAAACATTATTGATATAAAAACTGCAAAAAAAAATTAATCTTCCGTATTCCACTTTCCAATTCAGCAAAATCAAAAGGTGCCCGATTTAATTCCGCAATAATTATTACTAAAAAAGGTAACCAAATTACTAACAACACAATTAAATTTTGATTCACAAATCTAAAAAAATTAAAATGAATTATTGCTGTCAACACATACAATGAAAAAGCAATTTCATATGAAATTCTTTGTCTTCTAGCACGCAAAGCACCAATTATTCCGTATTTTGATTTTCTCACTATCCCACTGATTATAGTAGTATACACTGAAAATCCAATTAAACACAAAAAAATAAAACCACAAACTCAAACGTAATAAAATCGAACACAAAAGGTAATGCACACCACCCCAGATACATAACCACAAACGACAAACCGGGAATTAGTAAAAACATTATATCAGAGGATAAAACGGGTAAAATTGTTCTTTTTTTCACAACAATGCTTGCAATATAGCCATAAACGTTACTTTTGTGAGACCTAAACGATTTTGTCTTCTTCCCAATAAATGTCGCTCATATAAAGTAATTGGTAGAGTAGCAGTTCTTAATGAACTAATTTTTACACTGCAAAATCAAAACTAAAAAATTGAATTTTTAATTTATTTTCAAATAAATTTTTTAATAGTTTACTATTAAATTCAGGTTCCCCTAAATTTACTTTACTACAACTTACTCCCCTTTAGGCAATTGATGGATGATTTGAACCACTTTTAAATACTCTTCAAAAAAACATTAAATTTTTTTTACTGTCTTTTACATTTTCAAATAAATTCACATTTATTATTCACATTTTTTTATATTGTAGGTCAAATTAAACTTTTATATAAACTAAATATATATCTATTTTTATAACTTATAATCAAAAATTTTATTGTATATCATAAATACACAATAAACGATCATACATAAGCCTAAAAAAATAGTAGTTAATGAGGGTTCTCATTTATTACTCAACCTCCAAAGATAATTTAAACAATCTGCCAAAATTTTTACAGTTTATATTTTACTTTACTCCTGTTTTACTAAAATTTAATTACTTAGGTACTAATCTAATTTATTAATTAAACTTTAAAATTATAAACTTTAATTTTAAAAATTTAAAATTTTACCTATAAATTATCATGTGTTTTCTAGAACTCTTCCCGAGGTCTGTAAATGAGCTTTATTAGGCTGACGTTTCGGCGGGGTCGCCTTCTTC